CACACACACACACACACACACACACACACACACACACACACACACACACACACACACACATTCATACGTATATATATTTTTTCTATATATAAATATATCAACAAAATGAAGAATTGAGAAATTCTTTTCGAAATTATAAATGAATTCTTTCTTGGCATATTTTATTGTTAACAATCTCTTTCTATATAAATATTTCAAGAGAATGAAATGCTAACGTATAGTTTTTGCTTGTTAAATTCACCTACCTGCTCATTCGTAAGCGGCAACCAATATATGCAAGGTGTCGCTTTTGTCTTCCTAAAGAGATCATCCAAAAGCTTTGCCGGTGGCGGATCATCCTCCTTCTTCTTGAATTTGCGAGCCGGTGCCGATAGATGTGCGTCCAATATTGGGCTGCGACTCCTCACTCGTCGCTTTTTATCATGCTCCTTTTTCTCACGCTCCTTCTCCCTGATGTGTTGCTGGCCGTCCTCTTTGCCTAAATCCCATTCTCTCACCACGGTCACCTAATACGTAGATGTGTCTCATTAAAGTTATCGAAAATACTGAAATGATCTAAGAAAACATGCGGATTTTTACCTTAGTATTAGTTTTTTCATCACGATTCCAATCTTGTTGCCACGAATCCGAGAGTGGCTCAGTTTTGCGAGCAACCGGTTGTTCCTTGGATGATTCCCGGGCAGTCTCCATATCCTCCTTTGTAGCATATTCCACATGGAGCTTTTTTGGATTAGACATAGGCCAAGAGATCCCGTGAAGTGCTTGCCTTGTCTCAAAAGCTTGATCCTCATTGGAATACTATAATATTAATAAATCGTAAAAAGTTTGACTCAAGATTCAAATTTTACAAGATATTTATATAATCGTACTTCGACAATGCATTTAGACTTAATCCGATCCATCCAGAATCCGTTCTCTACGATGGTGCCAGTACGCGAGAGAAGTTCCTTGATCTGATTTAGTGTGAAAGGGCGAACTAGATTCTTGATCAAAAGGATATTGGTAGGTTTAGACGTTGGTGGACTTGGTGATTTTATGTGCGGCATTTCCTTCACTATTGATATCTTCCGCCTTGTCACTATATTAAAAATAATAAGAATATTGTAAAAATATGAAAGAGAAATTACAAGATTATTTAACAGTTACATAAAAAAAAATATCCATTTTATCTAACAGATTATATGTACACTTACCAATGTGATTATCTACTTTTCCATTGCCCTTTTTAGCAGCGCCATTTTTCTGCAAGTTTTCATCTGTTGTCTTATCATATGTAATGTCACTAGAATTGTACCGTTTATCGTTACTTCTATGTCGATCTCTATCCTCATCATCGTCCTTTGAGAGACGAACTTCGTTGATGGATAATGGCTTTGCACCTGGCACCAATGCCTATCACATTATTATTAGTGAATTTTGATGTTCAAGAATGTAAAGTGATATATGTATTATAACATCTATGTGTAAATGGAGTAAAACCTTGAGCGAATCGGAAG